ACCAGGTCACCACCTTCTGTGCAACGCCCGACCGCTCTGCCGCCATCGCCACTCGCCGGTCTCTCGGCGTTCCTATTTTCTAAGCCGCATCCCTCATCAAGCCCTCACCGTTTTCTTTAACACATAGTCCAACAATTACAAATTGTTACCAGTCCCCCTCAAAAGCTACCACTTTCCTTTCAATCATACCACATTCCTGCACATTCCATGATCGCTAACTCAGGCTATACAGCCACTTTGGCTCGCTTCCCTCAGGATCCTGCCCACCAGATTGTCTCTGTTCGTGACAGCCTGGATGGAGGAAGCCTGTGGGACAACCCAGGAAGTCTTGGCTTGGGCAGATCGATCAACCTGTCGTGAGGAGCTTGAGATGGGCCAAGTCCCTGCCTGGCGGCTTGTCATGAGGGACCCTTGCGGTACAAGCAAATATCGATGCGGCTATGTGCCCGTCGGCATTAGCTCCACAATGATGTTGATGATGATGAGCAGGAAGCTGGATGCCTGGGCTATTTTATATAGACCTTTCTCAAAGTCCTTTTTGTGTATATTTTCAAATGGACTTCTCAGTCCTATTAGATATAATCGTACCTATACCTATAATCGTAACAGAATTTACCCTTCGGGTGCAAATCTTATATGTCAGAATGAATTTATGAATACAAGACCCATTGCCAGGACGTGGGGGTGGTGTTTACGAAAGGTCTATGAATGTCTCAGATTCACAATATGTCACATCTCAAAGTTAAGTTAATCTATTCAGCAACATGGTAAGGTAAATATTTTATTTTACTTACATGTATTATGACGATAATATTGCACATTCAGTATATTTTACTGTAATGTAGCAATCATGTGATTACTGTTGTTGCATAAGTAGTGAAGATGTGCGGAGACATGTGCATTTGTTTAAAAGAAAAGAAAAAAAGTGCCATTAAAAGTGTTTGCAATGTCAATAAAAAATTGACAGTCAATTAAAATATTGCCTCCTCATCATTCTTACAAAAGAAAATGCCTTAATGATTATCCACAGTTAAAAGAAGAAATAAAGGCAGTCCCTATGCAAGTAAGCAAAAAAAAAAAAAAAAAAAGAAAAAAAAAAAGAAAAAAAAAAAAAAAAACTTCATATATTAGTTAAAAGGGTAAGAAACGGCTTAACGTTTGACAAGTCAAAAGGGTCCTCCAGGTTTTATTTTGCATTTCAGACGCAGAATTATTCATACCTATGTAAATTTATAAAGTTGTTTAACCAGAATTTTTTATATGTACACCATTAGTATTGTCTTAATCACCAGCCAAACAGTAATGATTGGCCTGCACGCGCTGAGGATGCCCCACGATACGGGATGACGTGGCCGCCCCAGAAGCGCCGAGGATGCGCCACGATACGGGATGACGTGGCCGCCTCAGAAGCGCCAGGATGCCCACGATACGGGATGACGTCGCCGCCCCAGAAGCGCCGAGGATGCCCCACAATACGGGATGACGTGGCCGGCCCAGAAGCGCCGAGGATGCCCCACGATACGGGATGACGTGGCCGCCCCAGAATCGCCGAGGATGCCCCACGATACGGGATGACGTGGCTGCCCCAGATGCGTCGAGGATGCTCCATGATACGGGATGACGTCGCCGGCCTGCACACGCTGAGGATGCCCCATGATATGGGATGACGTGGCCGCCTCAGAAGCGCCGAGGATGCCCCACGATACGGGATGACGTGGCCGCCCCAGAAGCGCCACGATACGGGGGATGAGTGCCCCCAGAAGCGCCACGATACGGGATGACGTGGCCGGCCCAGAAGCGCCGAGGATGCCCCACGATACGGGATGACGTGGCCGGCCCAGAAGCGCCGAGGATGCCCCACGATACGGGATGACGTGGCCGCCCCAGAATCGCGAGGATGCCCCACGATACGGGATGACGTGGCTGCCCCAGATGCGTCGAGGATGCTCCATGATACGGGATGACGTCGCCGGCCTGCACACGCTGAGGATGCCCCATGATATGGGATGACGTGGCCGCCTCAGAAGCGCCGAGGATGCCCCACGATACGGGATGACGTGGCCGCCCCAGAAGCGCCACGATACGGGATGACGTGGCCGCCCCAGAAGCCCCACGATACGGGATGACGTGGCCGCCCCAGAATCGCCGAGGATGCCCCACGATACGGGATGACGTCGCGGTTCCAGAATCGCCAAGGATGCCTCACGATACGGGATGACGTCGCCGCCCTGCACGCGCCGACGATGCCCCATGATACGGGATGACGTCGCCGCCCCAGAAGCACCGAGGATGCCCCACGATACGGGATGACGTCACCGCCCCAGAAGCGCCGAGGATGCGCCACGATACGGGATGACGTGGCCGCCCCAGAAGCGCCGAGGATGCCCCACGATACGGGATGACGTGGCCGCCCCAGAAGCGCCGAGGATGCCCCAAGATACGGGATGAATTGGCCGCCCCAGAAGCGCCGAGGATGCCCCACGATACGGGATGACGTGGCCGCCCCAGAAGCGCCGAGGATGCCCCACGATACGGGATGACGTGGCCGCCCCAGATGCGTCGAGGATGCGCCACGATACGGGATGACGTCGCCGCCCTGCACGCGCCGAGGATGCCCCACGATACGGGATGACGTCGCCGCCCCAGAAGCGCCGAGGATGCCCCACGATACGGGATGACGTGGCCGCCCCAGAAGCGCCGAGGATGCCCCACAATACGGGATGACGTCGCCGCCCTGCACGCGCCGAGGATACCCCACGATACGGGATGACGTGGCCGCCCCAGAAGCGCCGAGGATGCCCCACAATACGGGATGACGTGGCCGCCCCAGAAGCGCCGAGGATGCCCCACGATACAGGATGACGTCGCTGCTCCAGAATCGCCGAGGATGCCTCATGATACGGGATGACGTCGCCGCCCTGCACGCGCCGAGGATGCCCCATGATACGGGATGACGTGCCGCCCAGAAGCACCGAGGATGCGCCACGATACGGGATGACGTCGCCGCCCCAGAATCGCCGAGGATGCCCCATGATACGGGATGACGTCGCTGCCCCAGAAGCGCCGAGGATGCGCCACGATACGGGATGACGTGGCCGGCCCAGAAGCGCCGAGGATGCCCCACGATACGGGATGACGTGGCCGCCCCAGAATCGCCGAGGATGCCCCACGATACGGGATGACGTGGCCGCCCCAGAAGCGCCGAGGATGCCCCACGATACGGGATGAGGTGGCCGCCCCAGAAGCGCCGAGGATGCCCCACCATACGGAATGACGTGGCCGCCCCAGATGCGTCGAGGATGCGCCACGATACGGGATGACGTCGCCGCCCCAGAAGTGCCGAGGATGCCCCACGATACGGGATGACGTGGCCGCCCCAGAAGCGCCGAGGATGCCCCACGATACGGGATGACGTGGCCGCCCAGAAGCGCCGAGGATGCCCCACGATACGGGATGACGTCGCTGCCCCAGAAGCGCCGAGGATACCCCATGATACGGGATGACGTGGCCGCCCAGAAGCGCCGAGGATGCCCCACGGTACGGGATGACGTCGCAGCCGAGAAGCGCGAGGATGCCCCACGATACGGGATGACGTGACCGCCCAGAATCGCCGAGGATGCGCCACGATACGGGATGACGTGGCCGCCCCAGAATCGCCGAGGATGCCCCACGATACGGGATGACGTGGCCGCCCCAGAAGCGCCGAGGATGCCCACGATACGGGATGACGTGGCCGCCCCAGAATCGCCGAGGATGCTCCACGATACGGGATGACGTGGCCGCCCAGAAGCGCCGAGGATGCCCACAATGCGGGATGACGTCGCCGCCTGCACGCGCTGAGGATGCCCACGATACGGGATGACGTCGCGCGCCCAGAAGCGCCGAGGATGCCCCACAATACGGGATGACGTGGCCGCCCCAGAAGCGCCGAGGATGCCCCACGATACGGGATGACGTGGCGGCCCAGAAGCGCCGAGGATGCCCCACGATACGGGATGACGTCGCCGTCCCAGAATCGCCGAGGATGCTCCACGATACGGGATGACGTCGCCGCCCAGAAGCGCCGAGGATGCCCCACGATACGGGATGACGTCGCCGTCCGAGAAGCGCCGAGGATGCCCCACATACGGGATGACGTCGCCGCCCTGCACGCGCCGAGGATGCCCACGATACGGGATGACGTCGCCGCCTCAGAAGCGCTGAGGATGCCCCACGATACAGGATAACGTCGCCGGCCTGCACGCACTGAGGATGCTTCGTGCCGGGACGAACTTAATACTTAATACTATAATAAATGTATCATGTGGCACCCTATTTAAGTCAGTCTCCTATACTTATGTGATTCTCCCTCATTGCCATCAGTCAATCAGAATCGCTGTTAAGAGACCTTGACAACTCAGGCCTAAGCCTTTAGCCCTCTCTCCCTGTCTCCCTCTCTCACTCCTTTACGCTGCTATTTTGTTGATAGAACGAACTCGTCATGTGTTAGTGGTTGCTCAACGATGAGATAAGTAGGATTTTTTAGGGTAGATAACAACATAGCCAACAATTTCTACATCAATGGTGCCTTATTAAGTTGTATGTGTCACAACCTTTTTATCTTTTTAATAAAGTGGAGGTAAAACTTTTTTTAAGACGACCTTCATCACTCTAATCTAACTCAATTCCCTTTATTTCTGTCCACACTACCAGTAAATTTGTTTATCTGAGGGAATGTAGATTACAAGTGAAGAAAATCCTGATCTCATGAAGGGGTACAAACTTGAGGATTTGATAATTGGCGTCGATGGAAGTAACGCTACAAAATGACGTGCTATAAACCTTAGAGCTCAAACAGGAGAGCATGGTATTTAAAAGAAACAAATTTACAAGTAAAAAGAGGAAGAAAATGATAAATCACTGTTATAACTGTTTAACAATGACACGTCACCCTTATCCTTACAGAGACGTAAATGAATGGATTGCATCCCTTGAAATAATACATGGAAGAATAAATCAAGTTTGGAATGTTCTGGATTTTTATGTGAAGATAAATCTTCCACATGGTGTACAATAGGCTTACAAACTGTCGACCGCGCGCGTGTGTGTGTGTGTGTGTGTGTGTGTGTGTGAGAGAGAGAGAGAGAGAGAGAGAGAGAGAGAGAGAGAGAGAGAGAGAGAGAGAGAGAGAGAGAGAGAGAGACAGAGAGAGAATGGCCTTGTACGTGTAGGAGCATGTATTTGAAAGTTCTTGTTTCATTCATCTTCATTCATCATCAGGAGGAAGTGTGAAGAGGCCATAGTCGAGGCAGTCCTTCACCTGATGCCAGTAGTCCGTGGCGTAGTCCTGATCGATGCCCCATGGCCCACCGACATGAGTGCGTGCGTAGGTCTCACACGTAGCGTAAGGGTTCGACACGTCTTTAGGTAAGCTCGAACAGTTGCTTCGTTACAGTCCCAAGACGCCACGCATGTGTAATAGTCTAACAAGAGGGAATTACAGATTAATCAATGATACAATGTGTTTTTAGTATGCACTATAGCCAGTTACGCACATATAAAGATATGCTAGGTATGCAGATTTAAATATATTCCCGAACTCGTTAATATCCTCTTCTCCCCACGTCATATTTATATCATGAATCTTCTTTCCCTTCGAACATCATGGTGTCGACCTTTATCAATGTTGTGGTTCTATTCAATAATCACGTTATATTCTTCCATATCAATTTTCTATGACAGATTCTTACCGTTCACCTATTAATTTCTGTTGCGCTCTCGTTTTCAATCCGCTTTTTCTACATGATGCACTCTAATTATACTATAGTCTCATGATAATATAAGTTATCCCGTTACATTTGAAAGGCGCCTAGAACGGTAGTGAAATTACATTTAATAAGCCACCAATCGATTTACAATCGATTTACAAATATATATGTAATTTATATCACCCCTTATTAAATGTAGTGCAGGGTCGCCAGGGGGAACAGACGTCATTATTGGCTATATTTAATGTAACTGATATCTACGTTTTTCTTTTCTTTTCGGCTAATTTGAGTATATTATTTACTAATCTGTTCGTGATACCTTCAATTAATAGACAAATTAATTTGCTTCAGTAAAAGAGAAACGCTGCTTCCTGATTACATAAGTTTCTCCAGCCGGACTGCCCTTGCTAATTCTCACGAAGCCCTATCTCTCCATTCAGATGTCGGCAAAATTAATTGCGACAAATCAAATATCAGAGAAATCAAATTCTCAATATGGGGACTCGGAAAATTAAATGACTAGAAATCGCAGACCATACTGAAATGCTGAAAAGCAACAGGAGGTCATCCTGGCCATACTCCCAAAGTCACGAGGAACATGGTGTTCCAATATATAGAGACAAACCAACAGACACGCAAATTGTGATTTTTTTTTTTTTTTTTATTGCTCTTCATCATATTCATTCCTTTCTTTTCGTACGCACCTCCTCCTGGCTTGTAGGCATCGGTCCAGTAAGGTTTGGTGATGGACCACGGGCCGCACACCTCGCCCCAGCCGTTGTTCTGACACACATTCTCCGGCATCACACAGCCAGAACTTGATACCTGATAAAACAGAACGCTTACATAATGGGTAAAATCATATTCAGCAATAAAGAGTAGTACTATAACAATGTTTGCCTCGCCTACCGCAGGTCCTATTTTCAAACCTGCATTTATCTAAATTGTCCGTTCCACCTATATGAATGAAGAATTGATTTTTATCAGATACGAGTGCACATATCTACATTACTGTTATCATTTCCCATTAGTGTTAGCTAAACAAAACAGAAGACGTAAGGTTTTATAAAGTCGCATTTCCACCGCCTCCCAGGCTACGATTACCTAGGAAAGTCGACAAAAATTCGGTATTCATTTTCGTTTTTGAGGGGGAATTTTACAGGCAGGCAGAGTACACACATACATATAGTTGGAGAGTTTTAGTTATACTATTGATGTCACTACTATCCATGACATGCTGTGTATTATTAGAGCTATTACTGCTACTTCATCATTGCTGTTATTATTATGATGAATATCGTTATAATCATCATTGCTGTTTTTATTATGATGAATATCATGATTATAATCATCATTGTTATCATCATAATCATCGTTACGAGCAATGTTGCTATGCTTTTTATATCATCATCAGTTCCATAATGATTAATAATATTGTTATCAATATTATCATCCTCGTTCTCTTGTTAGCATTATGTTTACTGATACTATTATTTCTGCGTTATTGTTAAAGCTGTTTTTATTATTATCGATGATATGAAACTTTACTGTTATCATTAATGTTATAGTTATCAGATTTATCATTATTGTTATGATCACTATTAATGTTAGCTTAATTTTGTAGCCATTGAAATCATATTCGTATCACTATCATCAGCCTCACTGCTGTAATAATTTTCCTGATTGTTATTGCTATTAGTCATTATTTTTATTGTTATTGTTATTTTTATTATTATTATTATCATTATCATTA